CTCGACATTCTGATGTAAATGTGAATTTTTTTATAAAACTACTGGGTTACTGACATTTATTATAAATGAACGGGGGGTTTTTTTTTTTTTTGTTTTAATAAATAAACAGTTTTTTTTTTTTTTTTTTTTCTTTTTAAATTTATGATTTGTAGAAAAAGAAAAGCCGAATTCATGGTATTGGTCATATGATCAATATCAAAGGTAGAAACCTTAAAGATCTTAAGCTGTTGATAGATTTTGACAATTTTAAAGAAGATCTTAAAAATATTATTAACAATAGAAGCTACCATTCTGATGAAATTTCAGAATTTATGAAGGCAGAAAAATGACAAAAAATATGTCCAAATAAAAAGATTGATAACTATGTTCTCTATGTTTACGATAAGCCCTGGAGATCTCATAGAGTAAGTAAGCCTTTTATTATTTTGTTTTAAATTTATTTATTTATTTTTCATTCTATTTTAACTATAGATTAAAAAAATTTTGCGGTTGGTCGATGAAATAGAAGAAAACATATCCTATATTAAATTGTCAAGGAAGCAGTAATACAATGACAACAGATGGGTTGATAAATCAAAACCTCCAAACGATACTCCCAAGTAGTCTATTTTTGCTTCTTACGTTCTGGAAGACGATGATGATGAAGAAGAAGTAGTTTCAAGTAGTAGTGGTAGCAGTAGCAATAATGGAGGTGCAAGAAGCACCGGAAGAAGTACTGAAGATGATACCAATAGAAATTATGATGAATTATATGCCGATTATGATGAATTCCAAAACGAAACCAACAATAATAATGAAGAACATAACAATTCTAGTGATACAAATAACATTTCTGGTAAATAGAAATTCTATCAAAGCAGCAATATATTATTTTTTTTATTTTATAGCTTTAGACATCATACTACGTATAGTTAATATAGCATATTTTTTGTAAAAAAAATTATATTATTTGTATTAGTATTAGCAATTGCATAATATGTAGTATATGTGAATTACAATTAAGATATTG